TCCCTACGGGAAATGACGGAGATCATTTGTTGTTACAGTAAGAGCAAATAGATTCTAAAATAGCATCTCCAAAGCAGTATTGGAGAGCTGGCAAAGCCCCCCGTGCACCTTTCACCACCAACTGGGGCCTCTGCTTCTCCCAAAGAAAAACACCCACGTACATTAAATCAAAGTCATGTCACAACAATGAGAGAGGACATCAGTTGAAAGTAAGGGACACATAGAGAGAAAATGAGGAAAGAATACCTTCATTTACTAAGAAACAGGTATGTAAAGGAGGAGCAGGGTCAGAGGCAGAGTGCCCAGCTTCAGCGCTAGAGGAAACAGCAGGAGCGACTTGCAGAAGAAACAAGAAGAAAGAAAGAGAAAGAAAAAAAGGAAAGTGAGGAGAGCAGCTTCTGAAAAACAGATTAGTATCACTGAAGAATGAGAAACAAAACTGAGGAAACTATGATAATATTAAAGAAAAAAAAATCTCGGATTCACAGAGTGCAAAGTGAGAGGCAGACGTGCAACTGCAGATAAACACGAGATACTGACGTAAACGGTGCATGGCAAGAGGCCAAAGCACCTGTGAACAAACACTACCAGTGTGTTTTAAGGAGTGTGGATTCATTTTGCAACGCTTCGCTATGAATACAAAAATACGGGTCCTGCTACTTATGTACTTTGCCCACATCTAGCCAGATTTTAAGTTTCTGCTATTTGTTAACCCAGAACTAAACGCCCAGTTTATTTCTCTTGCTCTAAAATGGCACTAAACATACTGACTGCTTGTTTTGGTGTCATTCTGTTTAAACTTCCTGCATCCCTGTAATTAGCAAGCCCATTTCAAAGAAAAGGACATAGTTTTCATTCTGGTAAGTATAATCCAAATGGAACTATAGGGAAACATAAATCTGATCTGGGAGAAATACCTTTTTTAAAAGAAAAAAGAAAAAAAAATGAATTTGTCATATAAACACGATTTCTGGGAAATCTTGATCTTTCAAACACTTCTTTTCCAAAATAAAAAGTAAATGGTTGTAAAAAACAAACAAGCAAAGACACCTTTTACCCAAGGAGCCAGCAGCCCTTGCTGGTTTCTCGGGGTGCGTTTGAGGTTTTGTTATCCCAGCAGGGAACGCTGCAGCATTCCCGCACCATGAGCGATCCTGGGAAGCGGCACCCCAGCATCCCGACCTCCCTTCCCTGTCCAACAATTCCTTTGCTCCTCAGCTTTGTGCTCGAGTGAAAAATGGGTGTTCATTTGGCCCATATAAGAGCGGCGACCTGACTCGGAGCCGCTTCGGCCTCGTCTTCCCGGGAGAGCCAGTACTTCCCATAGGAAACTCGTGCCTGACCTTGGGCACATCCTTCTACATCACGTACTGTTTCATATCTGCACACCTAATCGTTGTGCTTATGAAAAGATGTAAGCTAGAAAAGACTATTAAACTATCTGCTACTGGCATCTCTCATAATTGCAATTAATGAGTAGCAGTAGCAGAAGGAGCGTTCAAATAAACATTTGCCTTCATGCTGTGTATGTATTACTTACATATATATATCTTTAAACTTTAGCTTCGAGGTACAGTGCCATTTCTGTAAAGGGGCAGCCTGTGCACCACTCCAAATGTGTGAGTGCCACCTGATTGCCAAGAGCAGACTGCTTGGGAGCACTTAAACATGCAAACATCAACGTCAGCAGCAGCACCTTGGACAGATTTTTAAGAGTCTTAATCATTAAAATTTTTGCCTAGAATGTTACACTACCTTTTCCTCCCACGTAGATACTAGCACTATTTTTTGTTCATCACTCGATAGTAAGTTGACGCCTTCAGTGACAAGCTTGTATCAAATTGTTTTACAGAAGGTGATTTTTTTACCTTGCTTGATTTGTCCTTGAGCTGCATGACTTGATATTGAAGGAGGGGCCTTCACTTTTGTCATCTCAGGAGTGCCTGGCCTAGGAGGCCTAAACACAAAGTGTGTGAGAAGGGGGAGAGGAGAAAGGGTGGAGGAAGAGGAAAAAAATAAAGGTTATTTGCTAAAGATGCAGTAACTAAACAAACTTTGAAAAGCAGCCCTGCAAGAAAAAGCAGTCTGACTTCACAAGGTAGAAGTCACCCGCAATTCCTAGGTGAGTTTATTTTTTGCTGCAACGTCATGTTTATCTATATATTTTCATTAATTCATAATTTGACCTCATAATTATAAAACTCTCTGAAAACAATAAGCATTAAAAATAAAGAATAAAATGGCTTCTCAGCCTTATCAGGGCAAATTATGCTAACCCAACGTTATATTAACTTGCATAAGTCCCTTAAATCAAACTATCTTGGCATGAAAAAATGATATACCGAAGAAAAAAGCAATCCCTTCTGTTTATCTAGGCGCCAAAGGATACCACAGCCATTTAATACCTCAAGCCCAAGTGAAAAACTAAATAAATTAAAAACTGTGTTAAAATATCGCCTCTGAGAGAAAGTTAGGGCAAGCTGAACAAAACGAGCGCTTTCCATACCTGGTTGGGCCCTTCTTCATGTGGTCCCCGATGAACGTCGCGTTGGTCATGCTCATGAGCGTGTTGGCCAGCGAGATGATGGAGAGGAGATGCTGGGTGGTGACGGCGCGGGACACCCCGTACGTCCCCTTGCCCAGGCCCTCGGCGGCAGGCGCCCTTCCGCAGGGCTGCTTCCCTACGGCCTGGTTGTAGCCCGGGAGCATGAGGGACATGTGGCCGCCCCGGGACAGCAGGCCGAAGGACACGGAGCAGTGCGGCCTCAGCATCCCCAGGCGCTCGAGGCAGAGCTCGTCCAGGACGGCGTTGAGGCCCCACGCGTGCAGGCAGGACATGAAGAGCTTCGCCGTGTCCATGGTCAGGTTGTATTCCAGCAGGGTGAGCGGCTTGGACTTGCTGGAGCGGTACTCGGGGTCGCCGTCCTCCCTCCGCTGCCTCATGGATTCCTCATCCTCATCCTCATCATCGAGGAGGTGTTCTTTTATGTTCTCTTTGATGGTCTCCTTGACCTGCTGGAAGAGGACGGCCGCTCGCTTGCCGGCCAGGAAGGAGCCGCCCTTGTCGGAGCTGCCGGCTGCTTTCTGCAGGTTCTCCGGGGAAACGAGGGCCGTGCTGGGCCGGGAGGCCTCCTCCGTCAGCAGCTGGATGATGAGCGCTTCCACGTCGAAGAAGAGCACGTGGATATCCGGATCCGTCAGGTTGGTCTTGATAGCCTGCACCATCAGGGAGTTATGGGAATACTTCGGCAGATTCCCCTGCAATAAAATAAACAAAACTTTCAGTGGAATCGCTCAACGCTTTCCACAAAGCTAACTCGCATCCTGAGGACGCCCCGAGCGCTCGCACAGCTGCAATAGCGGGTATGGTAGTTTTACAGCATTCTGCTTGGATAACACAACGTGGACTGAGGACCAGCTGGATGGCAGAGCAGAGGGTGGCCATAAACGAGGCCAAGTCCACCTGGAGGCCAGTGCTGTCCCCAGAACGAGGTGCACACCTTCACCTTCTAGCCCTTTTCTTGCATTTCTGAGGAAGCTGCAGTTAGTTCACAAAGCTACATAAACCACCAAGGGTCTAGAGCCTGCACACGAGCAAATACCCCAACTCTGATCCCTTTTTCCCATGGTCAGCCCGCGAATAAAGAAATCATGCTTATTTAATAGCTTTGTCATGAGAAGCAAATGTTAGGAACTAGAACAGAAATAATTAAGTGTCAACGAATAATAACTACTAACGTTCTACAACGCACTGACCTATTTACGCACTCCGTATTTATTGCAAATGCAGCTACTATTTCCTCAGCATGTAGAGTGGGTACCTTTGGATACCATAATCTCTGGTAATGGTCCCAGTGGTGACATTAGAAGCAACAACGTCACGAAAACACCCTCGCTCCTCATCACCCCTGCTCCCTGTTGCTCTTTTTGCCCCTTGTGTGCCGGGAGCCGCGGCGTTACCCTGAGCAGAGCTCAGGCACCTGCACCTACCGCGTCAGGGAAGGCGGCTCCGCACTCGGCAGCGATCCTAGAGGGTGCAGTGGGGAACGGTCTCCCTGCATCCTCCCCGAGAAGGTGCCCCGTGGTGCCCGAAGGAGCCCTGGTACCGCTGGACGCGGATCTCTGCCCCCCTCTGCTGCCCACGGTGCTGTAGGCGCCCGCAGCTCACCTTGTCGGAGGCCTCGGGCGCCAGCAGGTTGGTGGCCAGGGTCTGCAGCTTCTGGTGGGCCACGTTCTTGAGCGCGGCCAGGCTGCGGCGCGTCATGGCCTGCTTCAGGTTGACGGCCGCGTGGCTCAGCGCGTCCACGGCGGCCGGGGCCCGCCTCGTCGCACGCGCTCAGGATCTCCACGGCCGTGATGCCCATCACGCACCGGTCCAGCGCCCCTGCGGAGAGGCCACGTGGGGAAAAGGGCCCGAGGCGCCGGGGGATCCGCCGAAAAGGGCCCGAGGAGCCAGGATGGCCCCAGCGCCCCGGCCTGCGCCAGCGGCTGCTTTAGGACCTGCGCTCCTAAGGGGAACCCCTACACTGCTCATTGCCACGAAGGATGCAAAGAAAAAAGCAAATTATAAAACACACACACCATGGTGCTCCACTGAGCACGCAGCAATGGCTGCAGTCGCTTGACGCTTCGAGGGAAAACTACTTCCAAATCATTTGGAATTCCTTTTCCCACCCAGCTACCTCAGACAATATCACACATTTGTTAGTTTGTTTCCTCGACTCAGCTGAGCACTGAGAAGGTAGTTAGTTACCTACAGGAAATATTTTGATGCATTATTTCTTGCCTGCTCCCTTTCAACTATGACAAACAGAATTTTCTACAGCATAGCTATTATTATTTTGTGCCATGTTTAGCACCTGTTCTCAGTTTGCTGAAGTCTTCTAAACTACTCAAAAACTAAAATTCTAACCATTCCTTAAAAAAAAAAAAAAAAGGAAACAAGTTGTTTCTGCAAGTGTAGAAATTCTTGTAGATTGAAGCTGCTGCATTTCTGCACTAAGCTTGAAGGGAATTATGCAAACACTAACCCATTTAGAGGACATTATGTGCTGTCAGTGCCTGCAACTCAACTGCTAGAGATAGACAGGATATTGTGTCTGGAAAGACAGCAAGGCAGACTTTTCCAAAACTAAATCAACTCTTTCCAAGACTGGAATATGCATTTAACAAATGCTTGCACAATCTACACAATTGAGGAATATTTGGAGAACTAATTTTTAAACACAAACATGTGAAAACAATTAACTCACCTCCCAGAGACGCAACTCCCAGAACTACTACCAAATGTATATATGTATATATACATATATCTACATAGATTTCTTTTTTCAAGCAGTCTCTCTGCACTGAACCTTACCCGTATCCATTTGCCAGACGTAGACGGAGCCATCCGAGCAGCCCACCACCAGGTAGTCGTCCGAGGGCCTCCACTTGATCACCTGGATGGGGAAGAGGTGGCGGGAGGCCAGCATGATGCACTTCTTCTCCCGCAGGCTCAGGAGCCCCACGGAGTGGTCGCTGGCCACGGAGCAGACGCAGTGCTGCACTCTGGCCTTCAGGAAAACCAAACAGCGCACAGGAGTGAGCCTGGGCGTAACACCGTGCGTTTACACTTAACAAAATCCTAAAATAAATACGCAAAATATTCTGCAGGCTCTTCGGGTGATAAACCACCCGTTTTACGAGCAGACCTCAAGCCTACAACAAAACCGCTTCCGACTTCACCCACCAAAGTTCTCCTGACCAGGAGACACCCTGCCCGCCCGGCCCTGCCAAGAGGGAAAATTCAACACAACCAACAACGTTCCTGCACGTTTACCAAGGCAGCCCCATGCTGACACCTTTCTTTGACCATTAAGGACATCCTGTAATTTTTCCATAAGGAAAACAAAATCCCCCCTCACCTGCTTTTCAAATATTTAAAATTCAAAGGGAAAATACCTATGAAAGGTTCAAAGCAGTCATAAAAATAATAAAACAAATTATTTGAAAAGCAGATTCAGCCAACTGGTAAAGCAGTTCACCTTCAAATAAAACACAGCCTATCTGCACCCAATCCTTTCACTTATGTTTAATTTTTCATGTGACAGACAGGAATGTTGACTTATGTTTCTTAGCAAAACAAAAAGAGAAGATTTTGGGTTTATCATACAGAATATGCGCTGCCCTGCATGCACAGTTAAACACTGCTGCAGGTAAGTTAATCCAAAGAATCACTCACATAGTTTATTGGTTTTTAAACTATTGTTTTAAATTTTATATATTGATTTTTTTCCTTTTTGTTTTTTTGGAGCTTATCATTAGGCTAATAGTCAGATAAGCTTTTATACAAAATCTTCCATCTTAGCTTACTTCACCATGCTAATTCTCAAGTATTTTTAAAGCTGGGATCCAGGCAGGAATAGAGCACAGCAGACCTAAGCAATGCAAAAATAAAGCAAATGGGAGCAAGAAAAGAAAGCAGCAAGAAAATGAGGATAACTAAATAGAAAAATGTTGTTCAAAGAACAGAAGACAAAGAGAAAAAGGGCAAAAAAATCAGTTATGGAAAAAAGGGAAACCAGGATTTTCTTTAAACAAATTAATGGCAATTGGTCTGGGAAATAAAGGGCAAAAAAAACAGTTATGGAAGAAAGGGAAACCAGGATTGTCTTTTAAACAAATTAATGGCAATTGGTCTGCATAACTGTTCCTATTCTTGCAAATTTTGTAAAATAAAATTGCATTTGAGAACTGTGTGCAGATTGCTGTGTGATGGAGGCTTCCTGCCGCATCCCCAGGGCCCTCGGGGTGAAGCTTTTCCACTCTTTTTAATTCTACTTTTAAACACTAACATAAATGAGGTTAGCAGAATGACTGAACTGTTTTTAAACATCTGCAATGTTACACTTTGGCTCAACTCTAAATCTCGAGTGTGTCCCGTTACATTCACATTCTTGAGAAGGATTCAAACTTACGCTACAGTTTTCTGGTGGAACTAGAAGCTGTGTAATTTCTCCACCATGCACACAGAAGATATGTTTCATCTCTCCAGAAAATATATCCCATATGATGACTGAGAAATCCACACCACCTGAGATCAAATACCTTTGATCATAACGAGCAGAAACCTGGTGAGGATACAGTAAACATGTAATTTTGTTGCGATGGCCTCGGAGGGTCCGGTGAGGTGGCCAACCTGGGAGATTTGGGAGGGAGAAGGGT